AACAAAAAAAGAAAACCCATTGAAATAAAGCTTCAGTTATTTGATTAAAGTACAGACTTACATTTTTATATGCAGAAAGAGGTGCTGCCAAGTTCTTAGATTCTTTTAGGAGCTTTGATTCTGCATAAGTAAAATCAAAATGAGGGAAGAAATGTTCAGAAGGCAAGTTGCTTAGAATTTGAATCATACTAAATTTAATATTTATACTAATTGATTAAACTGAGAAGTTGAAAAATTCTCAGTTTAATAATTAATGGCATAAAGTGTGTAGGGAAATGGTCTTCAATCTTTAAGAATTAAAAATTTTTATATCCATCACATATGTAGATCTAAAGGTTTTTATTACAAGTTTAAATCCTTGCAAAGGATATTTAGCATATTATAAATTTTATTATTTAAAAATAAAAGTTACATCATTCTATTAAATATCTTCAATGTAATGCCAACAACATTCTAATTTCATATCTACTACCAAATATTTTTAAATATATAAAAAGCTCTTTAAAATCAGATATTTTCTTATCTACTTTATCTTCTGACCTACTTTTTATGCCTTTTATCCAACATAATTTCGTCCAAATGTGATATATATTTTTATACTTGAAATAATTTTACTGATCTCTTTTTTGAGCTTCTCTGCTACAGATATATACATACATGGTAAAAACTGAAATAAATATTTCCATGCTCTCCTCACGCCCCCAGTTCATCCTCATAGTACCTGATAAACGACTCATCATTTGTGGTTTTTGGCACACATTTAAGTTTTCTAATATGCAACTTTATAAAATGTCTCATTTTTACCATGACATTTTCCCTTATTATAAGGCAATATAAATTTTCAGAATCTCTGAGGCAGACAGAATTCTGAAATGTCCCGCACATTTCCCCTTCTTGAGAGACACACCCTATATCTGTCCTTCCCTGTGTATGGGTGACACTCCATGAATTTGATGGGATTTCAAGTCCCCTATTACATTAGGAAGCACGCAAACCAGTAAATCCAATGGAAGTTAACTGGATGGGCCTGATACAATCATCTGAGCCGATACATCTGAGCTGAGCTAATACATCTGGGTTTAAGCAGGTGAGGCATCCAGAAACTTCCCTTGTGATATTTATCCTCAAGGCCATGTAGGAGTAGGAGCAGTGGAATTGTTATTTTTGTACATATTTTATATTCTCCTATGGATTTTTGTGAGTTGTCTATATTATTTTCCAACCTGCAAAAATAAAAATAAAATCACAAAGCATTTTTTCCTCTGAATTGACTGTTTCTATAGACCTGTCAATTGGGTTTTATGTCGGTGAGTGATCTTTTACAGTATTAGAACAGTAACATAGTTGCTGAGCCTCATAAAAGACTACAGCGAGAAAAACTGGTTTCCAAAAGCCACCTTTCTGCAAACAGCCATTTGTAGTGATCATCTGTGCAGTTTAAAAGATGCAGACACGGCCGGGCGCGGTGGCTCACGCCTGTAATCCTAGCTCTCTGGGAGGTCGGGAGTTTGAAACCAGCCTGAGCAAGAGCGAGACCCCGTCTCTACCATAAATAGAAAGAAACTAATTGGCCAACTAATATATATAGAAAAAAAAAAGTAGCCGGGCATGGTGGCACATGCCTGTAGTCCTAGCTACTCGGGAGGCTGAGGCAGAAGGATCACTTGAGCCCAGGAGTTTGAGGTTGCTGTGAGCTAGGCTGACGCCACGGCACTCACTCTAGCCTAGGCAACAAAGCGAGACTCTGTCTCAAAAAAAAAAAAAAAAAAAAAGATGCAGACAGAGAGAGCCTATTGATAATTCACATTTGGTATACTCTGTGATAGTTCCAGTTTTTCTATAGGCACCGAAATTTATTTCAAGTCATTATTTTAGAGTATTCTTGATTTTTTTCCATTCAACTGAGGATACATTCCAAAAATCAAACCTGAGCATATCAAGATAGGAAAACCAATTATTAAAATATGGGACAAAGTAGGTTGATCAAGAATCATGAAGTTATTTCATATACTCTACTTGTGTAGACTGTACTTTTATTGTAGAAAAACATGCTTTTTTAAAAATAATAAAGACCTGATATTTATTATCCAATCACTGTGAACATTGACAGCTCGGCTTGCAGATATCCATTGTGCTATTTCAGCCTGTTTACCTTTGCCACGTGCCGTCTAAATCAGAGAGTATAGACAAAAAGGCTCTAAACACCCCACAGTTCAGCTCTAATGCTGAATGGAGAATGACCCAGTTCTTCTTCCTGAAGCCAAATATACCCCCACACAAAATGTTGTTTTATTTCTTCTTACACTCAGCTTTTACTCATAAAATAGGATTTATCATACGTTGCTTCCATTATTGTTCAAGTGAGTATTACAGAAGTTTCTGGACTATACCAAGAATGGGCAAATTCTATGTCACACCACCACATTCTGACATTGTTTAACTCCCGTTTTACTTTACCAGCTTCCTATGTAAAGGAGTATAACAAGTTAGACCAGGTGAGTCGGCTCTCTCAGGAATTAAAGCGATTGAGTAATTAAAAGAAATAAGATTCTGAGCCTCGTAAAGGGACTTAATATCTCCCAATCCGTATATTACTCTTAGCTCATTTCTTTACCAGGTGCATTGAGGAGTCTCAGAAATTGTGTTCTTGAGGCTGTCGCATGTCTGTGGCTCTCTGAATACTGGAGGAAAGAAAGAACCTGACCCAGGCAGCCCACAGCAACTTCAGGCTTCAGTGTGAAACCATTACAGTCTCTTAAAAGGCATGAGATCAGCATCTGCAGAGAGCAGTGACAGTGGTGACTGGACTTGCAGCTTAGAAGGTTTCTGGCCACCCCAGAACTCAATGCTTTCAGTGGGGTCTGAGTAAACCTGAACCACTGGGGACAGAAGCAAGTCCCCCCATCAAAGTCTCAGAGGTCAGCTTGGGAAAACAAAGTCCACAGCATTGTTTTCCCAGAGGGGAAAAACAGGTTAGCTGAGAAGGTTCAGAATCTTTACACATTCTAAGCCCTCTCAATATGTGATATCATACAGCCACAGTTCTTGAAAACGGAATCTATAGAAACTCGTACCTTTACAGGAGAAATCTTTGATACATTTCATAGATGCTTATATCATATGCTATTAATAATGTATTTCCCCTGGAGCTTCATTACCATTCTTAAAGTCTATATCATGATACATGTTTGGATACTTCTAGGAAAATGTGGTCTCTGGTTGGTGCTATTCGGGTGACAAGATGTGTAACAAATAAAGGGACTGCACTTGACTGCTATTTTCTTTTCTTTTTTTTTTAGACAGAGTCTCACTCTGTTGCCCGGTACCTGGGCTAGAGTGTCGTGGCGTCAGCCTAGCTCACAGCAACCTCAAACTCCTGGGCTCAAGCAATCCTCCTGCCTCAGCCTCCCCAGTAGCTGGGACTACAGGCATGCGCCACCATGCCCGGCTAATTTTTTCTATATATGTTTAGTTGGCCAATTAATTTCTATTTTTAGTAGAGACGGGGTCTCACTCTTGCTCAGGCTGGTCTCCAACTCCTGACCTTGAGCGATCCGCCCGCCTAGGCCTCCCAGAGTGCTAGGATTATAGGCGTGAGCCACCGTGCCCCGCCTTGACTACTATTTTCAATAGTTCAGTATCACTCTTGAATAATCTTAATATCCGCCCTGCATACCTTTCCCCCCAAAGAGCAGTAAGCATGTGCTTAAGTAAAGTTTAAGCAACATAGTTCCACTATTCCCAAGGACATATTATCCAGGATCTTGTCTTCAAAAGTACAATGATCAGTAGCAACTAAACAAAGAATTGTGCCCAAACTAGACAAGTTTAAACGATAAACTAATGGGTTTATGTTTTCTACAGAAGAGGGTACAAAGCAGAATTCAAAGTTATCATGTACAGTGAAGAAGGGGGCAAGGCTGTCACAAAATCAATCCAATCCAATCCTATATAACAGTTTCATAAGTAATCTGAATATTGGAGAGAAGCCTCATAAAATTTCAAGTTAGCTTCAAGTCCAGGAATATCAAGACACATCTGGTAGTCTTTTTAATATTTTGTTGTTGCTTAATATTTTGTTGTAAACCTATTTTTTTTTTTCTGAGACAGAGTCTCACTCTGTTGTCCTGGCAAGAGTGAGTGCCGTGGTATCAGCCTAGCTCACAGCAACCTCAAACTCCTGGGCTCAAGTGATCCTTCTGCCTCAGCCTCCCCAGTAACTGGGACTACAGGCATGCGCCACCATGCCCAGCTAATTTTTTCTATTTTTGGTAGAGACAGGGTCTTGCTTTCGTTCAGGCTGGTCTCTCACTCCTGAGCTCAAACGATCCGCCTGCCTCAGCCTCCCAAAGTGCTAGGATTAGCCACCTAGCACTTTGGGAGGCAGATGTGAGCCTCCACCCCCGGCCATTGTAAACCTATTCATAAAATAGATGAGGTTGTTTTTTCTTAATTAGAATGTCACATATCCAAGGAAGTATGCTATTTTAGACTAAAATTAAATAAAATTCCATGTTATGCTTTTCATTGTTTTTATAAGTTTGTTTTTAAAGATGTAAGAGCTGAAAACTCTTGTCAAAGCAATGCCCTTCAATTATTCAAATTTCTTCTTAATCATAATCTCAAAAGTACAGAGATTTACTTTCAAAAATTACTTGTAATGGCCTGTGAACTGAGAACTCATTAGGACCTCCTGCAACTTGGTTAAAAACAAAAAATATAAACCACTTAAATTGAAAAAGTGCATTTACTTAGTTGCTAGGGCTGTCCACTTTCTCAATTTCTAAAAACACAGAAAAGGTTGAATTATGCCTGTTACTATTTCACCTGGACATCCCATGTTTAACTGTTTTACTGGAAAGGTATTGGGAAATTTAAATACTGTTAATTTCAATGCACTTTCACCAAAGTAGGTGTATGTGTGAGAAGGCCATATCTCTTCAGTAATGCTTTTATTTCCCCTAATTTAACAGCAAAGATGAACTATTACCCGGGAATGATTGGAGTATTAAACCCAAACAAAAGCAAACTCCTGAGTCATGGCAACTTCAGGCTTCAGTGTGAAACCCTTTGAGTCTCTCAGAAGGGGTTTCTCTCTCCGAAAGCGGCAACCTGCCCACAGAATGCTCAAGGGCCACATACCTTTCTTCTTACAACTAGGAAGACAGAAAAATGCCTCAAGCAGGAATGTCATCTTCCAAACCTCCTCTGCATCCAAGATCTGCCTCATTTCTTTCTTTTGTTTAGTTACCTATTAATATTTGCAGTCCTTTGTCTGCAGGGTTCTCCTTGATCTGCATGTTGTAAGTTCCCATCTGGGTCTTCTGGGATTCCACCCTTATTGGCGGTCCCAGGCCCCAGAGTGATGTGGGCGTCTCACAGGACACATTTGTGTGCCCACCTGTGTCCATGGGTGCACAGGCCTGGTCCATGGCTGCACCGTGGATCCTGGAGCTTGGGTGGTTTGATTATGGATCTACAGTGGGGCCCTTTGAGATGTTTTAAGGTCACCCTTGCAACTAGGTTTGTGCTGTGTAGCAACAACTGGGTATAGCGCCCTTTCTCCCCCTTCCATACACACTGTTTTAATGAGGTAACTTGTGGATTAAGAGTATAGTTTTAAAAATATATTTTAATATATCTTAATAGCAAACTGGGAACACTGGAAACATGTATTGCATGTAGGGTAACTCAAATGTATGAATGCAATCTACTGTTTGATACAATGCACAAACACCATTTAGTTGCCATCAGTAAGAAATTTATTTGGTTTTTAAAAGTCCAAATGCTAGTATTGTCCAAGAAAAAAAAAATGAACAGATTTATATATAGTAGTTATGAAGTTGAACTGCTGAAATTTGTTCCCTGAGACATTTGGAGTCTGCATAAATACTTTACATCCCTGGATTTATATTACAAGTTCACATAGAAAAAAACCCCAAAAAACAGAAAGACTGCCAGAACCTAATTTCTGTCCCCTAATTTCCCAGCCAAATCATAGGCTTAGGTACCTCTGGACTCCATGGAAGAAAACAAAACAAAAAACATCTAACGATTTGGAACTACCAATAATAAGTAGAGGAGAAAAAAAAATATTTGAGCATGAGATGTTCACATGAACCTAAGATCTCAAGTACGCTCTCCGCGAATGCGGCGCGCCAGCTGCATGTCTTTCGGCATGATGGTGACACGCTTGGCGTGGAGCGCACACAAGTTGGTGTCCTCGAAAAGTCCCACCAGGTAGGCCTCGCAGGCCTCCTGCAAAGCGCCCACCGCGGCGCTCTGGAAGCGCAGGTCGGGGTGGATGGCCTGAGCGATTTCCCGCACCAGGCGCTGGAAGGGCAGCTTGCGAATGAGGAGATCCGTGGATTTCTGGAACTTTCGGATTTCGCGGAGCGCCACTATGCCGGGCCTGTAGCGGTGGGGCTTCTTCAGCCCGCCCAGAGGGGGAGCCCTCTTGCCGGAGGCCTTGGTGGCCAGCGGCTTGCGGGGCGCTTTGCCCACGCCGGCAGAGCGCGCGGTCTGCTTGGTGCGCGCCATGGTGCGGCGCCGGCGTCAGACGGCGAGGGCGGCGGGCTGCGACGCAATGCAGGGTCTGTCAGTGTCCATCCTTGTGGAAGGCATTCCCCCGCCCTGGGCCTCCTCACACCCTACCCCGGACTTACCAGCTCACAGGCTGAGTGCGAGCCAGAGGTCCTGCCGCTCCGAGGGACCTTTGCCTCTGCCGAGGGTCACCCTGACCCTGCGGGGCCGTCTCCTCTGCGCCGGGGACGTTCCGGGTGAGCCCCGCTGCGTGGAGGCTGCCTTGACTAGCGAAGGAACTGGTCGCGAGCTGACTCGGGTTGGTGGCCGAGCTGGATCCCCCGTCCTTTCTGGGTGTCGGTCTGGAGACTCTCTGGGATCCCAGGCAGGTTCAGTCCCTTATAAAGGGCTCAGGTGATTGAATCAGACCCTCCCGGTTACCACCCAGCATGCTTACTGGTTCACAGATTTGTGACCTAATCAGATCTGTGAAAGCTCATTAGGTTCCCAGGTTCTGCCCTCCCCACAAGGGAGGGGCAGACATCTGGAGTGGGCATCACGGGAGGGATGGTAGGTGGGTCACCTAGAGTCCTGCCTGGCGCAGAGATCCTGAAAGTTTACAATTCACGATAATAATGGAAACGGTCAGGGTAGAAATAAGACGTTTTCATAGACACACTTTAGACAAATGTCTTAAGCGTCAAATTCCGACGGATGTATTCACTTGTCTATCAGGTGATGTAATGGTGAACGTGGGTAGGAAAGAGAACGTGGAAAAGCTAAAATAGTCACTGGTCTTGCCGTGTTTTCACTCCCAGGGCTGGTCCTGTGACATTTCCTCTCCCAAAAGTGAGACACCTGGAAATCAGCTGGTAGCATCATGAGAAAGCTGAAGCTGTCCTAGTGAAATGATCATATGTGACTGTCACTGACACTCTTCCTGCCTTGGTTTTCCATCTTGAACTTGGATGTTATGCCTAGGTTGATCCATCCTGTTAATGCCTAGGTTGATCCATCCTGTTAATATCATTGCCCAGGATGGAAATGCCATAGGCCCAGAGAAGCCAGTCCTGACCTCAAGGAGCTGCTGAACCAAGGTTGCAGCTGTTACTTTCATAATTCTGGCTTCATGAAAACAAACAACAAAAAAAAACAAACTTGTCTCTATACATTGTTAATAGACATTTCTGATACTTGTAGCAGAAAGCAAGCCCACCCATGCAAGGCATGTACCGTGAACAGAACAAGAAATTCCATGATATCTAAAGTCACAAAATAAGTGAATACCATTGCTTTTTGCATGTGTATTTATTATACCTTTTAATAATAATGATTTTATAGAAAAGAATATATTTTTTATGGGCTAAATCCCATGGCATTAGCTTTGAGTGCTTTGGGGGTTGTAGCTATTATTTTTAATATATATTCAATGTCAAGGATGGTTTAGATTTTTGATAAATAAAACTCTGGAAGGATAATTGAACATGTCTACAGAGAGGATGAATGTAGAGAAATTGTTACAAATGAGATTAGCTCAATTCATATAGTGGCATAATGAATGTTAATGATTTGAAACCTTAGATAGAAATTTATGAGTGTTAACTTATATAATCTAGAGGAACGAAGTTTGACCCACCAAGAAATGATAACTCTTGAACATAACCCTGGAGAATCCAGGAAGATTAGATTTTGATTGCCCGTGAATCAAAGGAATGGCTGCCACTATGGCAGAATGACACAAAGAATGGACACCTTTACAAGGGGTATGCACTGGGTATTGAGTTTAAAAGACATTAACACATCATGAAACAATTAGTTTTGTTACTTATTTTCCACAATTCTGCCAAAACAAATTGAAATGGCACCAAATGGATATGAATGGAATCATTAAATACAGCTAGATATTTCTTACTACTTTTTTTTGGTGAGTTGATTCAATTACAAAGTTAATGAGGTCAAGATCATATCTTAGCTCCCTGGATAGCCTAGTTAATTTTCACAAAGAAAATTACATTTCATTACAATGGGCTCTATGACTAACTTTGCCAGGTCACTTATGAAATGTGTCACTGATCACAAGTGCAATTGAGTAAAAGTGCATAGTTGTTTCAGAGAAATAGCTGTCATTACAACCAAGAAACTACACACCTGCAAACATAGACTTGCAGAATGTAAATGTATCTTGGTAATTTTATAGCTTGGTGGTTTTTGACAAATACTTTAATTGCAGAAGTCTTTATTCAGATACTTTATTGGATGTTCAGCATATAGAGCAGAGGGTTGCTCGGTTGGTCGGTTGATGAGGGAGAAAAATTGGGGTCTGTAAATGAACATTCTGATGATTCTTATGACTTCTTAGTCCACTGGTCTCCATCCTTTCCTCTTCCACCAAAAGTGCTCTCTGAAATCATTTTAAAAATGTGAGAATTGGGGTTCTGTGAAACACAGTTGTTAAAACCCTGATCTATCCAGACACACTCATTTTAGATATTAGAGAATGACCACTCATCTGAGATTACCCAGTGAGGCAGTAGCAAACCTGGGACTTCAGCTCATGTAGTGAAATTCTTTCTGTATAGTGTAATTCAATAATTCACATTTATATATTTCCCACTTAACAGATTGATAGAGTTTTCCAGATTGGTGATTAGCTCTGCTTGACATTGTTACTTATTCAAGCATCCAGATTTATTGCAATCAGATTATTCCGTTTTCCTCTTATCATTTTCATGAGGGAAACTGGGTTGCAAAGGCTCTAGTTGGCAATAAAGAGAAGGGAGTCTGGAAGGGGACTGCCCAGGAAATTGCAAACTAGGTCTGAGAGTGGAACTTGGCATGAGAGTGGACACATGGCCAAACTTAACTGCAAATGAGGTTTGGCAGTCATGTGCCCAGAAGACAGAAGGACAGATTTTGATGGACAACTGGGAATCTCTGTCATTAAACCCTGTTCATTCCTACAAATTGTGCAGAAAAAGCATTATATTCAGGTTTAATAATAAATTTATCTCATTAAATATGTTTAAGAAATCTTCACCAGGGCTTGGTGGCTCACGCCTGTAATCCTAACAGTCTGGGAGGCTGAGGCGGGTGGATTGCTCAAGGTCAGGAGCTCGAAACCAGCCAGAGCAAGAGCGATACCCCATCTCTACTAAAAATAGAAAGAAATTAATTGACCAACTAAAAATATATATAGAAAAATATTAGCCGGGCATGGTGGCACATGCCTGCAGTCCCAGCTACTCAGGAGGCTGAGGCAGGAGGATCGCTTGAGCCCAAGAGTTTGAGGTTGCTTGAGATAGGCTGATACCACGGCACTCTAGCCTGGGCAACAAGAGTAAGAGTCTGTCTCCAAAAAAAAAAAAAAAAAAAAGAAAGAAATCTTCAAATTCTTTCATATTTGTTTTCTCATTTTTTTTTTTTTTTGAGACAGAGTATCACTCTGTTGTCCTGGCTAGAGTGAGTGCCTAGCTCACAGCAACCTCAAACTCCTGGGCTGAAGCAATTCTCTTGCCTCTGCCTACAGGCATGCGCCACCATGCCTGGCTAATTTTTCCATATATTTTTAGTTGTCCAGTTAATTTCTTTCTGCCCAGGAAATTGCAAACTAGAGATAGGCTCTCACTCTTGCTCAGGCTGGTCTCGAACTCCTGAACCCAAACCATCTGCCCGCCTCAGACTCCAAGAGTGCTCGGAGTACAGGCGTGAGCCACCACACTCAGCCCATGTCTGTTTTATCAGTTGTTTTAGTTCTTTTGTGCTGTTAGAACAAAATACTTTAGATGGGTAATTTATAAAGAACAGAAATTTATTTCTTGCAGTTCTGGAGGCTGGAAGTCCAAGATCAAGGTGCCAATCTGGGTGTATTGGTGAGGGTTGCTCTCAGCTTCCAAGATTGGGCCAGGTTGCCGTGTCCTCACGTGGCGGAAGGTGAAAGGGCAAGAGAGTCCTCCCTTGAATCTCAAGCCATTTTATAAAGGTGCTAATCCATTCATGAGGATGGAGCGCTCATGGCTTAATACCATCTTAAAGCTCCTAACTCTTAATACTACCATAATGGGGATTAAGTTTCAACATGAATTTTGGAGGGGCCACATTGAAACCATTTGGATCCTCAAGAAAACCCAATGAAGTTCAAAGAGCAGGAATATCTTGACAGTCTTAAAAGTGAGCTTTAGTCTTTGGGAAGTACAGAAGTAAGGGCCTTTTCAATTAAATGTTTGTCAAAGCTCTAAGAAAGGCAGCTCATTAGTAGAAATTATCTCTTTGGCCAGGTAATAAGGTTTTTTTTTCTTTCTTTTTATTCCTATTCCCTTAAACATATTTCAAACACTATAGATTTTCTGATTCCTTTTGAAGATTATAAACACCTTGAGGAGAATATAAAGTGTTATTTGTTTTAGTATTCATATGGCCCTTACATAACACCTTACACATAGGTGTTGAGTAAATCTCATCCGAGTTTTAATATTGATTACTGCCTAAGTTAGGATTGGCTGAGAGCAGTATTCTGTAGGGGTCTTAGTTGATTTGTTTTGGGGCTTTTCCAGTACTTTGATGTGTTAAGATTTGATACCAATGCTCTCAACATAGTGAAAGGACATAAAATTGACATTAACATAAAAATAGCTTTAGACAGATGAGTTTGTAAATAAAATGAAACTCACAGATGAAAATCAGGTACTATGATAAACAGTTGGTCGATAAGTGATGTGTTATGTGAGCAAACATAATAAGATATTTTCAAAAAGATAGATGGAACACTTAGATGAGCTCATATTTGGTTTTATGGTATTAATATATTGTGCATGATAAGATATCAAATGTGAGAACATAATTTGGTTAACTGCAAAAAAGGAAAAGCAAAACTTCTCTGTATTTCTCTATTTATTCATACTATTGCCTCCTTCCAGAAAGGATTTCTGGCTCTTTTGAAGGTTAAGAAAAGATATCGTATTTAAGTGGCTCCTAGTCTCTTTCGTGTGGAATCATTTTTTTTTTTTTTGACAAATGTTTAATAGGAATGACTTAAAAAGAAAAGTGTTGGCTAGTCAAAGAAGGTTGGAAAATGATGCAAACTTAGTCCCATTTGGAGATTTTCAATAAACATTAGCATGGTAAATGAACTGAATAAAAATAATCTGTTTAAGTTTCTTTATTCCTGTGTCTTCCATACTGGCTTGACTGTGAAGCATATTTTTCTCCTCTCAAAACACCTATTACTGTTCTACAGGTCATGGATTCCTATTTGCTATTTTTTTTTTTTAACCATTGATAGAACTAATCGCAGACTTTTTAAAACAAGATAAAAGGCATATATAAAATGTCACAGATATTTGATTTCCATTGAATTATTGAAATATACAAAATAAATGCAATTCCAGAAATTTATGATGTTGCCTGAAAATTTCAAATTGTGTTTTCAGAGCTAGCATTGCCGAGAATCAACCACACCCGGCAGTCTGGGGGATGGGCACGCTTGTAGCTCTGACTCGGTGATGCGGAGGAGGCAATATCTGCAACCAAAGTGTTTGTGCCCCCACAATACTCTGGGGGGTGGGGGAAGAATGGAAAAGGAAACTGTATAAAAATTGGGGAGGAACATGTAGCCGCTTCCAAGCTGGATCACGTGACAGACCCTGAGGAAGGATGGGA